TCCTGAGCAGCCATCGAGAACCTTAAGTATTCAGTAAGCTATTACAAATATTTTGAAAGGAAAAATAATAATCGGATGTAAAATATGTGAAGTATGTCAATGCTTGTATAGAGTGAAGAGTATAATGGTATTCTATAGCTTTTTTGCCTCTTAATGTGTAGAGATATCAGCGTTAAGAAGCTTACATAAAAATGTAGATTTTGAATGTTTCTTCATGCGTACTGCATGAAACTCATTTCTTTTCATCCTTGGATGAGCTACATCCGTATGTTGATTATTTTATATTGTCATTCTGACAATTTGGCTAGAGTCAGTAATATCAAGAATCTTACAATAATCGTCTAATGTTTCTTCTCTCATTTCTTATTTCCCATACTTATTTGTTGTCATCCTTCGATAAGTTATTTGTGTTTGTTGATTTTTTTTGTATTGACACTCGGACAATTTTGCTAGAAATCACTATTTTACTCCTTGAGTAAAAAACTATTTGTAATAGTCTATCTTAATGTTCTTCTTTGGTCATTATTATTAGGATATATATTATATATATATATATATATATATATATATATATATATATATATATATATATAATATATCAGAAAAAATTGAGAAGAGGCTGGCCAGCTCACGGCCCCGTGACTGACAGCTCTATGACATGTGAGCCCCCTACTAGTCACATCTAATAGGGGGCTCACATGTCATAGAGCTGTCAAGCTCACGGGCCGTGAGCTGGTCAGCTCTTCTCTCCAGCAACCTCTATATATATATATATATATATATATATATATATATATATATATATATATATATATATATGAGAAAAATATGTATGTTTGGTACCAAGGCATAAATTTTGGCTTGGTAGTGAGGTGTAATATTCACATTCACACTCATTCTAATTCTCAACCACTCCCGCAACTCATGTGAATGTGGTCCCGATTTTAATGAGTAGAGGGAAATATCCACCGTCATTAGCAAACACAAAAACTAGTGTTTGGTACCGAAGCATAATATATATAGTATATATATATTATATATATATATATATATATATATATATATATATATATATATATATATATATATGAACATGATAAGCATGACATTCTGGTCATATCCGAACACAAAGAAAAGTTTTGTGATTATTCCCAAAAAAAAGAAAAAAAAAGAATAAAAAAAGAAAGTAAAATGAAATAAATATACATTTGGACTATCACGTTTATAAAGTAAGTTCTATTCAATGCTAGAGGTTGTATTACAAGAGTGCTCAACTTTAACCCATCATCATCCTATATTGAACATTTAATAATGACGAGGAGATAATTGTTACTAGTACTGAATGAAAGAATTTGATTCATACTGTCCACTCCAAAATTTTGGGATATAAGGCTTTAGTACTGTCGTGTTGTTATATTATCCGCTGCATCAAAGTTGGCAAAATATTTTTTGCAAGTTTATGTGTATTGACTATATGTGCATAAGAAAATGATCTAATTGAATGAAAATTTGTAGATGGCTGTGGTGCCTAATTCTCTCAATGCATCTATGAGTGCAATCTCGTCTTTAAGTACCATCATGGGCCTATTGATTTGCCATTTGAGATTGCGTGGTTGTGTTAGCAGTTAGAGCCTTATAGATTATTCTTGAAGATTTAGTGAGGAGTTTGTGTTTGGTGCATGTCTCTTTCCTCATGATAAATGATCAATGCATCCCAATTTGTTGATGAGAAGTATCACTAGTGCTACTTATCTGTTCCTTTACTCATGCTTTACAATGATCAAAATTTGTTTTTTTAGAAATTTTATTTTATAAGTTTGTAAACATTACAATAATAGAGGTCAAAGGATTTGTATCACACAAGATCAATGATTCGAAAATTGGAATGTATTCCTCGCGCAAGGGAGTGAAACTTTTTATAGTACCAAAAATACGGAGGAGATAAATATTTTATGTACCTTAGTTAATTCTTATCCTGGAAAAAGAAATTTCTATAAATTTGAAAAAATGAACTCTATAATAGATTGTAGAATGTTTGTAAAGTTTTTGTGGAAACATTTTAAGAAAAAACAAGAAAACATTTAGAAAAAGAAAATTCTATAAATTTGAAAAAATGAACTCTATAATAGATTGTAGAATGTTTGTAAAGTTTTTGTGGAAACATTTTAAGAAAAAAAACAAGAAAACATTCAGAGAGCGACTCTGCTGGGGATCGAACCCAGAATCTCTGGTTTCGTAGACCAGCGCCTTATCCATTGGGCCACAGAGTCTTTATTGTCTGATTCATTTTAATATTTTTAATATAAAAATATATTAATATTTTTTTAAACAATTGATCTCATTTTTCGACCCTTATGCATACAACCCGCTTATAGCATATGCAACTGTCAAAGTCTGCAACGTGTAATTCCAGCTCTGCGATCATACTATCTAGTCAAGTAACTAGACTATATTTTTCAAACTAATCCTACACTACTACCACCCAAACACATTATGGGGTCCATGATGACTCATCTGAGATTCTTTACATTCTTAATTGTAGAAATCCTCTACTACTCACCAATTAAAAATATTTGTTTAGTGAACCTCATGTATATAATATTTTTGGGGTTTTTTGCAAAAATTTTGGGGTTTTTATAATTTTTTTTTGGGAGTTTTTAAAATTGGTTTTTTTACAAACTTTCAGGGGCTTTTTTGCACAAATAGAATCATTCAAGAATTAGAAACTAGAAATAGAATTCTTATTCAATAGAGGAGTCGCAAGAATTCTATTGGCAAACATAGAGATGATACAATACATAATATATTGGGCCCTACATAACATATATATATTTACATTAAGGGACAAAAATATAAATCTTCCTACATTGTTTAATCCAAACTTCATGAACTAAAACCAACAATAGCCACTTATGACGTAGTGCTGGGTTTGTGATAAAACACTAACAAATACAACAATATATCACATGAGAACAAGACTGTAAATTACATTGACATGAACTTTGCATTAGCATTGCTTGATTTAAGTTCATAAACAGCTTCAACCAACTTTGCTTCCGAATACAAAAATACTAATAGATTGCGAAACATTTGCAAGTCATATATCTTAAAAAAAAAGTTAAAATTATAAAAATACGTATACACACATATCTATGTATTCTTTTCCAACTTCAGGAGCTTGTATCTACTGAGCATCAGAAAGCAACCGTCTCAAATAGTTGGCTCCATCACTGATAGCAGAATCTTGACCAAGTGGAGCAACTCTCTTTCGCATAAGCATTTCGTCTGAAAATCCTTAATTTCTTTTCCGGCCACCACTTGGCTGTGATAGCCACTGCTCATCAGCTTCCACAAAGTCGCCCTGCAAAAAAGTCAATCAACTTAACCTAATCTGTTTTAGGAGTTTAACCCATAGGAAATTACTAGCATTGCGCATAACCTCAGTAAATAGAAACTACACAAAGTACCTTATACATGTATAAAGTTTTGCACTATTTTCAAGCTCAACGTTCATGCTAATTGGGACATAAGTCAAATATTTCATGCTTATTGAAAACTACACAGCATTTAGCCAAAAAGTTTCATGCTTATTGGAAACTACACAACGTTTAGCCAAAAATGACAATGAGTCTAGGAGAGAGATGCATTGCTTTTTCAGGGAGAACTTGGCCATGCGTATGTATCGGGTATATGTATGTCACTTGGGTTTCTACATTATAGCTTCGATCATTTGTATGCTTACTGGGGGCTTCTTGTCATCTTCTGATCTTTTTCTCAACTTTTAATCTCTATCATACATGTATCCTTATCCCATACTCTTCATGTACATCATCCTACTATGTATATTCTGAATGATTCCTTTTCCATTCTATTTTTTGATAAAGAAACAGGTAAGGTCAAATTTCTTTTTGGAACCATTGATTGATTAATTTAATTAAACCGAGATTAAGTAGCGGACCATTTTGCTTCACTAGAGCTATAGAATCATAGATAATCTTCTTCATAATTGAGTAGCACACAAGGGAACCCAATGCTTGAGCAAATGCTCAAGAAAAATTAAACCCAATCACAATATTATGCTAGAGCAGCACACCGCTCAAGAAATTAACCCCTATTCTATTTCTTAAGCAACACCCTTCACCCAACAAGCTCACTGAGCAATCCAGCTAATTACTGAGATGAGAATTGAGACATATCCTAGAAATAATGAGTTACATTGAATACCTCCAGAAAACAATCCTTGCCAGAGAGACAAAATAGCAGGCATGGTATATAATAGTTCTCAATTGAATTTGAACTTGAGCTCCCAGATAAACAAGAGGCTAATGATCAAGATTCAATTGATACAAGCTCATTCCTTTCAAATGACAGCAACCTAGTGTTCAACATCTAACACCAGATAGGCAATTCCAAAAGGTCTAGCATCTATCTTTAGAGCCTCAAGAAGCCAACATCAACACGAGTTGAAATCTCGATTTATACTTAAATGTGCACCTTGCATAGAACCCTTTAAAAAATGTTGTTCTTTTTCAGGTTTTCATTTATATAGCTTAACCTGTACAATGTGATCCAAGTATATACGACAAAAACAAGCCATTGGTGTCCTATAAATTTGAAATTAAGCAATCATGATAAGCATGAAAATCATGCAAAATTTTGATGCAGGGACGTAATTGTATCACTAGACGCCGTACAAATAGGTTTATATCTTGTCCATTGCTGATTAAATTGATTGATAAGTTTCATTTTGCATGACTGAGACTCAGCATCTTCTATGAAGTATTGACATCGAAGAGGAATAGTAACATTACCATGATGATAGCTAGACTTGCTATTGAAGTTTCCTAAAGTCTCCAAGTGAGCGACAACCCAAAAAATTTTAAAGTGAAATATTTTTACTCAATGCTAGGATGTAAAATGTCTCTAAAAGAAAATAACCTTCCTACTGTTTGACACATATTTATGTGTAATGTGTAATATCTACTCATCTATTTATAATACCAAACATTTTGACATAGTGTCTAGATTTGAGAGCTAATTCATTGATGTTATGCATGTCCAAAACCTTTCCAAAAAAAACCTATAATCTTTAGTAAATAGAATCACATATTAAAATATATGCTTTAAAATTCAAGAATCCCCATACTCTGCTCTACGATTCTAAGATTAAAAAAGGCACAACTATTCACTAAGAATCTTAAAAATGAAGAAAGGTTTATGCTCACAACTCAACCCTAAGTACACAAGAATCATAAAAATTGGGGTCCTAAATAATTATTTAAAAAAGTTACTTACCTCCAGAAAGAACCCTAGCAATTAAGAGTCAATAAAAATCAAGAGTCAACGGATAGTGATGTGATCTCCCTTCTCGATGACATTCAGTGAGAACGAATCCCCTTTTTACCTAAACCGGGCAGAAACAGAAGACAAAAGATGGTCATGCATGGACTGAATGAGCACGACTAATGATCCTGCGAGGCAATGCTCTGTCTATCAATCAAGTCATTACAGCTCAATCAATCAATAACATGAGGATTAATGAAATAAATTTAAAGAAAATAGAAAGAAAATCTATCGCCTAAGGGTTGTTTGGTTCACCTATTTTATGGAAAACTTTTGAGAAAATACCTGACATTGGCGCTATTGTAAATAATAAATTTCTGTAATTTCTATAAACTGTGTTTGGTTTCAAAAAATTATAAAAATACTTTCTATAAAATAGGGAAAAGTGTACTATTTTATAAAATCGACTTCCTCTCTAAATGGACGAAAATTACAAGGAAATCTGACGCATATATTAAAAAACTAATTAAGTACACAAGTACCTGAAAACACCCTTGAGGAGGGTGAATAGGGTCAATGCTAATCTAATTCTAATTTTATGTCAATTAAAAATTTTCTTGATTAATTAATTCTTGCAAAAGATATATGAGTGAGTTATGAGCAAGAATGTAAATTATAAACACAAAATAAATATACACAAAGCAAACTCAAACACAAAATATGATCACGGAGTTTGGTCAACCCTTGACCTACGTCTCCGCTCCTCACCTCGAGGAGATCTCCACTATATCGACACACCCGGTTTGAAAGCCAGAACTTCTCTACACACTCGGTTTTCTAGTTCACCGAAAACTCTACAAGACACTCACAATGTATATACACAAACTACAACGTCAAGTGTTGGTCCTCACATATCGTCTCCCTCAAGTGCTCGTCTTTACTAGCTCTCATTAGACTTTACTACCGTCACCACTCCTCTTGGTATCGACTACGTCCTCACCACACACTCCTCTCGGTGTAAATGTGTATTACAATGTGATACTCACAAATGAAGCTCAAATACAATAAATTGTTCTCTAAAAATAAATGAGAACACAATGAAGCTCACTCTCACGTTATCACTCACCACAATCCACAATATAGTGTATGTAATCCTAGAAGCTCAAATAGGGATGTGTGTGATAAAATGAGTTCAATAAAATCTAACTCAAATAGCAAACTAGCAATAATATGAATATGAAAATCAGTAATAAAATGCTAGATAAATGAGTTAGAAAAACTTCTCTATAAACACAAGAAGAGGATGAAATTGATTGAGGATGAATTCATCAATTGACAATGTAAGCTTCATCTTTGTAAACAAACACTAAACTTGAGAAAAAACTTAAACAAACTTTTAAACCCTTTAAAACTCTTCTTAAAACCCACTTGGATGATACTCAGAAGTAAAACAATAAGGGGTATATATAGGATGAAAACTAAAGCCCAAAAACCAAGAAAACCCAGCAAAAAAATAAAAATACAAAAAGCTGAAAAAACTAGCCGTTACAGGCATCGATCGACTGATGAGCTGAATCAGTTGACTGACGAGCTGATCATTTCAGACAGCTAATAGCTTATCAGCCGATTGAAGAATCTCATCAGTCGACTGATGACTTCATCAGTCGACTGATCAGTCGACCAAATAAGAAAACAGAAACTTTTGAAGATTACATGCAGTTTCATTAGTCGACCGATAAAAATCATCAGTCGTCTAATAACAGGTTTTCAACCTGTAATGAATAGTAAACACGAATTTCAAACTTCTTTTAAAATAGCAAATAAATTCTAAAAAATATAAAACTTTGGAAAAAGTTTATAAACATGAATATGAACATGTTGGAAAAAGAATTTTTCAATTTGCTCTTACTATTTGTGAAATCTCAGAAATATTCAAAAACACTAAAATACATGTGCATGTTGATTTTGACATTTAGCTCAAATCAAGTTTTGAAAACATGTGTAATGTTTTTATGGACTTAATAAAATATGTTAATAATGTTTGTATAGTCCAAAACATATTTGAATATATTTTGCATAAAAATACCTATATTTGAGAAAATTCATAAATGACATGTGTGTGTGTATTTGAGCTTATAGAATTAGCACACATTATATAAACCTATACTAAGTATACCAAGAATGAATCTTCTGAAGCTTAAACTTGATTGATTGACTTGATTTGCATAGGCTTTAATATCAATGTGGTTCACTTTCCTACGTATACTAAATAACACAAAACAAAATACTAAAACTAATATTAGTCGTAAATTGTTTGTTAAATCATCATCAAAACAAGAAGGCCAACAATCTCCCTCTTTTTGATGATGACAAATAATTTACCAATATGCATAATAAATTCAATAAAACAAACCAAAAAATAAATACTATATACCTCATATTTTTCTCCCCCTTTGGTAACATCAAAAATGGGGGAAAACATAATGAGAGCTAAGAGCTCCCCTATATGTAAGCATGTGTGAGAATATAAAACATAAAAAGATATAGGGATAGCTCCCCCTATCAACAACCCATAAGAAATATATGCAATAAAGATCATGGCAAACATGTGAGCAAGCATAAATGTAAAATATGCTAAACATAACTCACATACAAAGATAGACTAAGTGAACGCATATGCATGTATCATGAAAATAATGTGCCACAAGAGTCTAAAACATAAAAACCTAAAAAAAATCAAAAACTTAAAATAAGATCAAACATCAAATGATTTGAAAAATTACAAATTATTCACCATAGAACATGATTGATTGAGAGCACAAATAGACATATAAAAGGTGTCTCAATACGCAATCATAAAACATTATATGGATATAAACAAAAGTAGATCATGAAATCAAATAAAGTGAAATCATGAACCCCGTGAAGGTTCAAATAAAAGCCTCAAATGATACTAAAAGAAATTCAAAGTGTATATATTGTATCATTTTCGACAAAAGCAATAGAGGTGAGCATAACAAGCTCTTGAAACAAGTTTCAACCCAAATAAAGCTTTTAGCATCCGATAAACCTCCTAGGGGTTGCTCAAACCATAAACCTCTCATATGAAAGCTCAAGAACAAAGTATAGAGAAAAATATGGTTGATCAATAAAGAGAACTTTCTTTGTGAAATTTGATCAAACCACATACAGAATTCATTATAATACACAAATAGATGATCCACGAACACATAAATATCATCATATAAGTGGTTTATAATGAACCCATAAATACAAACACATTGTTCAAACTTAAAAAATTAAAAACAAGGTATAATAACAAAAATGATGTTTTAACATAAAAAAATCATCTTGATAAAAATTGTATCAATTTATAAAGGATGAAAACATGAAAATCTATGAAGGAGAATCATGAAAAAAATATGAATGATAACTTTTCAAATTAAATTCCAAGCATAAAATTGTTTTTAATTTTGTTTGTAAAACTTAAATAAAAATCATCTTTAAGAACATGAAAAACTAAAAAGCAAAAAAAAAATTCTTCTTAAAGAATTAAACATGTTTTGGTACCCAATTACTCTTGGTATCTAAGAGTCTAGGGACATGACCCCTATCATTAAAGTTCAAAGCCCTAGGGTTATGAACCCATTTGGGCATATTTTGTGCACGGATACGGTCAAAACAAAAATTATATACATGACCCTTACGATCACAATTTGTGCAATGTAGGGGTTGAAATGATTTGTGTTGACCAAAATATTATGCACGTGACTCATTTGCAAAAATAGATTTTTCTTTAAAATTATTTTACAAATGGGAAGTTCTTCTCAAATCGAAACAAAACTTGGTCAAATGACCAAAACGACCACAAAATTCATACTTATACACATGGGTATTTTTATGATGTTCATTATGTATGTGTGTACATATGTATGAGATGGAGAAGCTTGATGGGATGCACAAACATGATTAGGCTTTTTAGGCTTTTATGCATTATAACAAAATTTAGCAATATGGTCTTTACAGTCACAAATCGAACACTTGTAAATTTTGTCATACATATGTGCATAGTGAGTAGTTTTCTTAGATGAATTTGTATGGGACTTTGCACATATGTCCATAAGCTTTTTGTTATTAACAATGCAAGTTTTTAATGTTGAATCTAAAGAGAATATTCCACTTTTAATATGATTCAACTCATTATTATCCACACAAGCATTGTTATTAGAAGTAGAACATGCATGATCAATTTTAAAAAAAGTAAGCACTTTTCTAATGTTCTCAACTTCTAATATAGCATCACATTTAGCATGAAACAAACTAGTATTTTTCAATTTTAATTTTTCATTGCATTTTTTAAGATTTACATCTTTATTTGCAATGAGATCAAACTTCGTAGCTAGTGTTTCATGAGAGGATTTTAATTCGACATGCTTGCTTTTCATATCAATATAGCTACGTTGTAATTTCTTATATTCATGCATCAACAATTCATAACCATGTGCGAGTTCATCAATAATAAGATCATTTTCGTTATCGGACTCGCATACCTCACTAGGGCTATCACCTCGTGGCCGTGTGCATGAAGAGGCTCCATGTGAACTTGACGAGGGAACGGCCAAAGATCATCGGATCGCCTCCAAGTTCCCTTGATGTGCTTCAAAAAATTTCCATATTATATAAGCACTATCAAAATAAGCAAGTTCGTTAGAAATACATGGCCCAAAAATATTATGCATAAATTCTAACACTAACTTGTTCATTGTAAATATTTTCTTATCATGATTGCTCCACTTGGATTTCTCCAAGGTGGGCACAGTATAAACATTGTAAATTACTTCCCATAAATCTATATTTTTAAACTCAACAAAAATTTTGAATCTAAAACACCATTGTTCATAAGGAAAATCACTGTTTTAAAAAACCTCCGCCTGGTCCGCTTAGGCGTACGTCTAGACCTAGGCGGTACCTAGACCGCCTAACTAGCGCCTAACGTCTAGACGGTATTTAGGCTACCCACCTAGATTTTACGAGCGTTTAGGGGAGCATTGTTTGCTTACGTAGATTGCATCCTGTAGGCCTTGATTGTGATTTTATGTGTCGTAGCCTACACGTCCTCCAAACTCCATTAACCTCCAAATATGAACATCTACACTACCTCCTCCGACCTTCAGCAAAATCTCATCGACCACCACTTAAATGAAGAAAGAAAAAAAAACGCTCAGAAACCGCTTAGGCGCCCGCCTAGGCGACTAAGCGCTGGGCGCCAAGTCCGACGCCTAAAAACGCCCAGCGTTTAATGTAACATTGAGGAAAATTACTATATCTAGGAGCAACATTTATGTCACAGCCTAAGCTAAGAGCACCGTACATATCCATAATATATGTGCAAGCAAAAATATAATATCAAAATAAGATTAGCAACAATATTAAACCTTGGATCGTTAACTCAATGTGATTAAACCTTAAATCAAGAGCACCAAGCTCTGATAGCAATTGAAAATACCCTGGGGGGGGTTAATAGAGTCAATGCTAATCTAATTCCGGCTTTATGCCAATTAAAAACTTTCTTGATTAATTAATTCTTGCAAAAGATATATGAGTGAGTTATGAGCAAGAATGTAAATTATAAGCACAAAATAAATATACACAAAACAAACTCAAACATAAGGTATAATCATGGAGTTCAGTCAATCCTTGACCTACGTCTCTGCTCCTCACCTCGAGGAGATCTCCACTATATCGACACACCCGGTTTGAAAGCCAGAACTTCTCTACACACTCGGTTTTCTAGTTCACCGAAAACTCTACAAGACACTCACAATGTATATACACAAACTACAACGTCAAGTGTTTGGTCCTCACATATCGTCTCCCTCAAGTGCTCGTCTTTACTAGCTCTCATTAGACTTTACTACCGTCACCACTCCTCTTGGTATCGACTAGGTCCTCACCACACACTCCTCTCGGTGTAAATGTGTATTACAATGTGATACTCACAAATGAAGCTCAAATACAATAAATTGTTCTCTAAAAATAAATGAGAACACAATGAAGCTCACTCTCACGTTATCACTCACCACAATCGACAATATAGTGTATGTAATCCTAGAAGCTCAAATAGGGATGTGTGTGATAAAATGAGTTCAATAAAATCTAACTCAAATAGCAAACTAGCAATAATATGAATATGAAAATCAGTAATAAAATGCTAGATAAATGAGTTAGAAAAACTTCTCTATAAACACAAGAAGAGGATGAAATTGATTGAGGATGAATTCATCAATTGACAATGTAAGCTTCATCTTTGTAAACAAACACTAAACTTGAGAAAAAACTTAAACAAACTTTTAAACCCTTTAAAACTCTTCTTAAAACCCACTTGGATGATACTCAGAAGTAAAACAATAAGGGGTATATATAGGATGAAAACCAAAGCCCAAAAACCAAGAAAACATAGCAAAAAGACAAAAATAAAAAAAGTTGAAAAAACTAGTCATTACAGATGTCGGTCGACTGATGAGCTGAATCAGTCGACTGATGAGCTGACTGTTACAGGCAGCTAATAGCTTATCAGTCGACTGATGAATCTCGTCAGTCAACTGATGATCTTATCGGTCGACTAGTCAGTTGACCGAATAAGAAAATAGAAACTTTTGAAGATTGCAGGAAGTTTCATCAGTCGACTGATAACAGTTTTTAGTCTATAATGAATAGTAAACACAATTTCAAACTTCTTTTAAAAATAGCAAATAAATTCTAAAAAATGTAAAACTTTGAAAAAAGTTTATAAACATGAATATGAACATGTTAGAAAAAGAATTTTTCAATTTGCTCTTACTATTTGTGAAATCTCAGAAATATATTCAAAAACACTAAAATACATGTGTTTATAAACATGTTGATTTTTGACATTTAGCTCAAATCAAGTTTTGAAAACTTGTGTAATGTTTTTATGGACTTAATAAAAGATGTTAATAATGTTTGTATAGTCCAAAACATATTTGAATATATTTTGCATAAAAACACCTATATTTGAGAAAATTCACAAATGAAATGTGTGTGTATATTTTTGATGATAGAATTAGCATACATTATATAAACATATACTAAGTATACCAAGAATGAATCTTCTGAAGTTTGAACTTGATTGATTGACTTGATTTGCATAGGCATCAATATCAATGTGGCTCATTTTCTTGCGTATACTAAACAACACAAAACAAAATACTAAAACCAATATTAGTCGTAAATTGTTTGTTAAATCATCATCAAAACAAGAAGGCCAACAGTACCATTCCCATGTGATTTCTCATGGGTATTGTTAGTAAGCTATTTTCTATAAAGTGATATCTAATCAAATAAAATAAAAGAAAACAATATAATTTCTACAAAGTTAGGAACTTTTTCATACTTTGAACCAAACAAAGAAATAGCAAAAAAATAAGAAATATGGTACTCTTTGAGTTCTATAAATTTTTCCTACAATTTTTATAGAAGTATAAGAAAATTAAAATTTGAGTACTTTTCTTTTTCCTTTTTTATAGAAATTGAACCAAACAGCCCCTAAGAGAAAGAAACAAATTTTAGGGCTTTGAGGTAGAAAGAAGGGAATATACCTGATTACGAGAAGTTGCAATCTTCTTCCTCTCATTCCACCAAGTATTGGATTGTCCAGAAATTGAAAAAGAGCTTGAATGAAATTAGGGAAATCAGCGAAGAGTGGAGAGAGATTAAGAACAGTGCTTTTTGACGGAGGATCACACCAACAGGGCTTGTTGAGACGCGACAATCAGAGTGAATAGAGAATAGTTAGGGCTTGTTGAGGAGGGATTAGGCCATTAGAGTTTGTTGAGAGACACTCCCTGATGACGATCGTCGATAGTCATCACCTTCTTTAGTTTCTTCACTGGCTAATTCTAGGGGTTCGAAATTGAGAACGGGGAAGCGAGAGACTGAGATTTTGGATTGTGGGAGAATATGAAATAGTGCTTCGGTTGGAACTTTGGATCTACAGGCGGGGCAGAAATAGATGGGTTTGTGACCTGCCCATTTTAGTACTTATTTGTTACATATAAAATTGAAACCCACCCATTATAGCCCATTTAATAAAATAAATGGGTTTTATACGGGCCAATAAGTTGGGTGTAAAACCCCGATAATTTAAATATTATGTGATAAATAATAATAAATATGTTATATAGTGATAAATAACATATTTTGATGTTTGAGTATGCTACGAATCGATTTGAGATCAATTCAATATATATGTGTGGATATATGAGTGCAAATGCCACAAAACATGCACGAAGAAGAAAACTGGAAAATAATGACCAGATTTGAGTTTATATATTTTCATACTAATACAGTTAGAATCTGGGAAAACGCAAAAGACAAAAGTTGTAGGTCTCTTCATCGGATTTCTAATAAATTTTAAATCACCTCATTCCGAGATCGGATGTGAAAGTTATAGCACGACTACTGAATATAATTTTTAGAAACTTTTAGTAGTCGACTACTACTCAGAGTAGTCGACTATCGGGAAAATTCCCGGGCTGACAGGTTGTAGATTTAGGGTCGAATTTATTTTTCTTTGAACCCAATTGATAACTTAAGTATATAAATATGTTTTTAACCTGATTTCTGAGTTATTCCATGAAAGTATACTGCCACCTCCTCCCCCTAAACCATAGATCTGATTTTGGTGTTTTCTCGAGGCGTTTGAGACGTGACATCGAGCAGAGGGAGAGATCGAGGGATGTGGTTGAGGAAAAAGATGTTGCACACACATTCAAGAGATCAACTACGTGTTTGAGGCAAGATCTCATGCATCCAAACTCATCCCCATAGTTAAATATCTGGTTTAGATGTTAAATTTATGTTTGCTTGGTGAAGCTTAACCCCATGTGTTAAAATTGAGATTTTTTATATTAAATCTTTGAACCAATGTTAGGTCTACATGTTTTACTTACTGTTTACTATAAAAACATGATCATGATTATTTGGTTTGTGTAGATCTTCGTTTATACCTTGTTTTCCATGTTAAAATCATGCTTAAACCTTAGACTTGAGATAAATAGAGCTTGCATGCTAATCAGGTATGATTAAACCCTAGATTTGGGATTTTATTGTTCTGTAAATGTGAATAAATGAATTTACAAAAGTTTTGAGTTTAATATGCAAGCATGTTCCCTGTTGACCAAATAGAAAAAAAATTAGGGTTTATGTCAATTTCTTGTTAAATGAGAAGATTAAAACTAAATTGTTGAATTAAGGCTTTAAATGATCATGGAGATGATTCTTCTGATTTGTAATTACTAGATTTACAATATATTAAAGCATGACTTACACGTGACAATTTCTAAGTGTTGTGTGTGCACGGATGTGTGCATGTTTCTGCTTAGTAGTCGACTACTAAGAGTAGTAGATTTCTAAGTGTTGTGTGTGCACGGATGTGTGCATGTTTCTGCTTAGTAGTCGACTACTAAGAGTAGTAGTCGACTACTAATGTCGTGTGCATGTTTCTGCTTAGTAGTCGACTACTAAGAGTAGTAGTCGACTACTAATGTCCAATTTGGTTTTTATAGAAACTATCCAATTACAGAGTAGTCGACTAATGTTCAGTGTAGTCAACTACTAATACTAATTCAAGTTTTTCAGAGTCTGGATGGACTCAGTGTAGTCGACTACTAAGGCTTTTTCCTGAAGTTTTGTTGCATTATTTTGAGATGTGATCGCGGGATTTGAATCGCACGATAGTACACATATAGACATGAATATACATGAATAGTGATATGATACACACATGAGTATCCCAGAGGGGATTTGACAATTGTTGAGTGATTACACTTGAGTTGGAGTAGTTTAAACATGTGTCGGATATCGTTAATGCCTTAATGGGCCCACCTCAGTACTATGTAAGATAGTGAGTCGATATGTCAGATTTGTATAGTTTATACATGGGATGAATATCATTGATGGCTCAGCTCAGTACTATGTGAGGATAGTACGTCGATATTCTATTTGTACAGGCCATTGAGTCAGGTTTGGATGCTTTGTCTAGCAGTCCGTCCGCACGAGGGTGCGATGAGGCTTGTGAGCCGTCTTTTAGGATACTTATAAGGTAGGCCATCCCGCACTCATGTTATGCACTAAGATCGCGATGAGACTAATGAGCTGTGTACATTGATTTAGGATGCCTATAGAGTAGTCCGTGTTGCATGATAATGCGATCAGATCAGAATCTTGCAAAGAATTAAAATGAGACGATTATTTGATAGCCTGAGTTTTGTTGGATGCCAAAAGTGGTTATGTCACACTGCTGAATATATATATATATATATATATACTATATATATATCATAATATATATATATATATATTAATATATATATATATATATATAATATAGATATATGTATATTATATATATATATATATATAAATATATATATATAATATATATATATATATATATATATATATATATTATATATATATATAGTATATATATATATATATATATATATATAATATATATATACTATATATATATATATATATATATATATACATATATGTATACATATAAAAAGTATAATAAAATATATATATACTATATATATATATAAAGTAAATATATATAACATATATATACATATATGTTATATACATATATAATATATATATATACATATATATATATATATAATATTACAGAATTGGCTAGGCTACTCAGGATTCCAACATAAGAAGCTTTAGAGAGGGGAGAGGACCCTGGCCGTCACCCTCAACTAAAGGACCTAGAGAGAATCCTGATTGACCCAAAGCCAAGCATAAAGCAAGTACAGATCTCATTACTAAATAGTCTATCTCTAAAAACTGAAATGAAAGAAATTAATTACATTGCTTTTCGGATTCCCAATTAGCAAGGATAATATTATTACCAGTCTTCCATGTGCAGGTTCTAAGCAAAACATTGATATCCTCGTAGAGTCGCCTAAATACCTTACTCTTGTGATGTACATGAGAGTTTTATGTTGATGTCTATTATAGTGTTTTATTTTCTAGTGATGTTTCTTTCCATAGTTCGGTATTGATATTTAGATATCTACAGCCTGAGACATATGGTATATACATGAGGGTTTTCCTGTTTGGATTATTTTTGCTCAACGTACTACGTCTCGTGTTGTAGATTTCTAAGTATTAATACTATTAGATATGAGGAAAATGATATAGGTAGACTATGCTTAATAGATGGGGCCTCCACTACATCTGCCAGCCCTTCTCCTGGGGGCGGATGGAGGTGATATTGCTGTAGCGCTTTGACGCTTTTATTATTACTTTTTTTATTTTAATTTTCTTTTCAGGCAGTTCAGAGCTTCGGAGAGCCGCAGGTTGACGGTCTTCCAGCATAGTCATCGTCTTTTAGTTTTAGTAGTGAGACTCCACTGTGTTGACTTTCACATTTAGACATTAGAGTTTATTTTCTTCTTGTAAAGGCTGTGAGCCTTAGTACGATTTCTATTTAGTTTGTGATGAGGCATTTTCTTTTAGTCATCAGATGTATTTCAGACTTGCTGGTTAAGACATGAGTTTATTTATGAGATTTATCTTTCTACATCATGTCTACTGTGTTTAATATCTTCTTTTTGCATATATTATACATGCACTTTATTTTTGATTCCACTAGAGGATATTGTTGTGATTGGTGAAACCTTTTGTTATACAGTATGGGTGCATGGCAGGTTTGACATCTCTTGATTCACCTTGGACAGCAGCCATGTGTGAAAATAGGGGCGTCACAGTTGGTATCAGAGCTCTAGTTCTAGTATCCTTAGGATCATCCTATGTCGAGTCATGGAGCTAGATTGAAGTTTCTTAGGATTCATGTATAGAGTCTGTTAGGAATTTCTAGAATGAGTGAGAACGATATATGTATATATCTCAAAAATTTCAAAAAAAAATTTATTATGACTACATTACTTTGATTATAAAGTAATTGCATGAATAAACTATGATATGATTTGATTATTGCTATGTGATATATATGTTGTTGCCAGAGGTCTCATTACTATGTCTTATAAATGCATAGATGGCCGGACAAGGACATGGACGAAGGGGATCCTGTACTCAAAGAGAGATACAGGCTGAGCCAGAGCTTGAGCAGCAACAGGCTCCCCCAGAGCAGCATCAGGTTCTACCCGAGCCGCAGCAGGCTCCGCAGTATCTTATAGACCTCATGGCACCAATAGCAGGTAGGCTAGCAACGCTCGAGGAGCAGATGGCGAACCAGATTCTGCCAGTCGCACCACCACCTGTAGTTCCACTACCAGTATTTCTAGCAGTGCCCATCGTGGAGGAGTCTCCAGAGGTTACACCAGGAATCACGCTACCAGTTACAGGTAGAGCCACAGAACATAAGGCTTGGCTTCGTCTAGTCGAGAGGTACCAAAAGATGAAGGCACCGGAATTTCAGGGATCATCAGATTCGCTGGTAGCCCACAAGTGGAAGGAAGATGTGGGGATTATCCTTGACTTACTTGATGTGGATTCAGTCCAGAAGCAGAGGTTAGCTGCTTTTAGTCTAAAGGGTGATGCCGGGGATGGTATAGGCTTCAGTTCACCCCGGAGCAGCGGATGACACTTTCATGGGAGGATTTTGTTTATTTTTTTGACGAGCAGTACATCTCTTCCGCAACACGGATTAGGAAAGAGCTTGAGTTGACCAGATTAGAGCAGGGAGACATGTTTGTGGCAGATTATGAGAGTCGGTTCATGAGCCTACTTCATTTCATGGGCATGTGGCAGACTGGGGAGAGACAGGCACAAATGTTTCTTACGGGGCTACGCCCAAGCCTTCATCGTTACCTCGTATCTAGGAAGTTTCGCCCAGTTCGTGAGATAGCTGATGTAGCCATTTCGTAGGAGACAGAGACTATAATGTTCCAGAAGACTAGAGAGGGTGGTTCTAAATTAGGGCGGCATAATAATAAGAGTAAGGGTAAGAGACCGTTC